ACTGAACTACACTCTCAGCCCATTTTGTGATTCTTTTTACTGAGAAATAGATTTTACATTTCAAGTATATACTTCGAGTATCAATTGAAATGCTCATGATTATTTTCATTGAGTTATCATTGCATCTCCAAAATGCATTTTTTTTTTGTCTTTTTTGAGACAGGGTCTCCTTGTAGCCCCAGCTGTCCTGGAACTCACTATGTAGACCAGGCTGGCCTCAAACTCACAAAGATCTGCCTGCCTCTGCCTCCCAAGTGCTGAGATTAAAGGTGTGTGCCACCACGCCTGGCCCAAAATGCATTTTAAATTATTTTTATTTATTATTAATAGTGGAGGGTGCCTTCCCATGGTACAGCAGGCAGGTAGTATTCAGATGACAACTTCTGGAAGTTGATTCTGTCTTTCTGTTGTGGAATCTGGAGATTGAACTCAGGTCTTAGGTTTGCAAAGCATTTACCTTTACCCCATGAGCCATCTTGCTGGCACCTAAAGTAATTTTTAAAATACAGTGTTTTTATTTGTTCTTTGAGAATTTCATATGTTTGCACTGAATTTTTATCTTGTTCACCTCTCTACCCTAAACTAATAATATAGGTGCAAGCCTGCCTAACCTATGGCCCACAGGCCACATATGTCCAAGGGTAGCTATGAATGTGGCCCAATATAAAATGTAAATTACTTAAAATTATTAGGAGGTTTTTGGCATCATTTCTGAAACTCAATTGTACAATTCTTGAGTGTGAATTTTGTAGATGAAGGGGTCCTGTCACAATGTCAAAAGGTTAGACACATTTGATAGTGTTTTTGTGGTATAACACTTGAGACATTTTGTTTGGTTTTCTTTCATATTCTTATTTTTGCCTATAAATGAGTTTGAGAGTAATTTTAATTTGATTTTTGTGACAGCATTTTCTAATTCTGGTGTCATGTTTCTATTAATTTGATATCAGCCATCACTGAGGTTTAGATTAGCTTACAGCTGTGATTATATTGCTTTTCTTATGATCTATACCTCCATTTTTTTTCTTTGCTAAGAACGTAACATATCTTATTTCATTCTAAATCTAGCTGTGGACTAACTAATGAACTTACATTTTAAAATTCTCATAGTTGTTACTTCTACATTCTGGGGATGTTTAAAAGTTTTTAACTTGTAAACTTATTTTAATGTTGAAATATAACAGAAAACATTAACTTCTGCTTTCACCACTGCAAGCTTTCCTTAATTTGCAGTCATTGTATGATTCCTGATTTTTAAAAAAATGCAGGTTTATTGAATTTTTTAAAAAGCCCACTTCTGGTAGAACTACAAATTCAGTGTTCAGTGGCAAAGAGGGAAAATCCCTCTTCTTTCCTCATTTCCTCTTTTGAGTGCTTAGTTATTGAAACCCTTGAGTGCTTATCATGCATGATACAGGTGTCATCTTTGGAGGACTTTGTTTTCTGCTTGCAGATATCGCCGTGGTGGAGATGAGTGATGCCTTCAGGCAGCCATCCTTGTTTTACCACCTTGGGGTGAGAGAAAGCTTCAGTATGGCCAACAACATCATCCTCTACTGTGATACGAACTCTGACTCTCTGCAGTCCCTGAAGGTACCTTCCTTGTTTGCTCAGTATTTAACCTCCACACCATTGGGGGTGGGGGAGTGTTTCTGTTATCCAAAACATTTTAAGTAGTTTACATTTATGAAAAGATATTTGTTAGTGGGTAATTAGGCACAGATTACTAGTAATGTTCCAAGGTCCGCTACTTCAGTATAGAAATGAGATCATACATAAATCAAAAAACAAAAAAACAAAACTTTGATTTCTGAGTTCTAGGTCAAGTTGCAACCAGTAAGATTATGTGAATAGGAAGTCTCTAGTAGCCACACATAGTGGTACATGCCTGTAATCCAAGTTCTGCAGAAGTCGAGACAGGAGGATCATGAATTCTAGGCCAGCCTGTGCTACATACCGAGTTACAGGCCAGCCTGGACTGCATGATGAGATCCTGTTTCAAAAAGCCCAAAACAAAGCAAGCATCTTGTTCTAGTTTGCTTTCTGTTGCTGCGATGAAGCACTAACTGAAACTGACTTGGGGAGGAAAGGGTTTATTAGGCTTACATGTTGTAGTCCACCAATTAGGGAAGCCTAGGAACTCAGGGCAGGAATTTTAGGGTAGGAACTGAAGCAGAGACCATAGAGGAATGTTGCTTGCTGACTTGCTTTCCCTGGCTTGCTCAGCTAGCTTTCTTGCACAGCCCAGGCCCGTCTGCCCAAGGATGGCACCATCTGCAGTGGGCTGGGCCCTTCTACATCAATGAGCAATCAAGAAAATACCCAATAGACTTGCTCACAGGCCAGTCTGCTAGAAGAAATTCCTCAGTTTATGTTCCTTCTTCTCAGGTATCCCTAGTTTGTGTCAAGTTAACAAAAACTTACCAGTACACATTTATAGAAAGAAAACACACACACACACACACACACACACACACACACACACACACACACACAAACAGGAAGTCATTAGTCCATACCTTGGAGAAGGGAAAGGTCACACGAGATATGCCAGGTCTATCCTGACAATTGGAGACTGCATTGTGCCCACCTGGCTCCAACTGAATACATACTTCCTTCTTGAAAGTGCTTTGATCAGGATTCCTCTCTGTGCATCCCTAGAAAACTGCCACCCTCATTCATTTGAGGATAATTTCAATTAAGATGGGAGGAAGGAGCAAAACTCTATGTTTTCTCTACAAAATTCAACTTCTTCCACCATCATTCTTTCCATTAATAGGCAACTATCTGATATAAAGGCCTGTAAATGAGTTTGAACTCAACAGTTCAACAGGGTTGAACCCTCTACCCAACAGGGTTGACTTGCCACACCAAGTGATTTTACACTGTGTGATTCTTTGGAAAGGGAGTCATAGTTCAGTGAAACCCATGCTGAGTCTGATATCATCTGTTTCCTTTGTGAAACTGGAAGCTCACTTCATGTGGCCTTTTCTCATCACTGTCTCTGAGTTCCCAAATCAGAGTCACCTTGGGTGGTGAAGCCTTAGCATCCAGGACGCATGTCTCACATCTTAGCCATTTTTATATGAAGATCTCCAGCCAAAAATCCTTTCACAAATCTTTTTTAGTATCAGCTTGCCCTTATATGAGTACTAAGGCATGTGTGATATTGCTTTCTCTGAAAACCTGCAGTTTCATTGAGGAAACCCATCTACTGCCTGCCAGTGCTGGGGTCCACAGGCGTAGCATTTGCTGAACACTTCTAAGAGATTGGCCCCTAGGTGGCCTAAACCTGTTTTCCACTTGGAGTGATCCTTTGAGAAACAGCTACTTAATTTTCTTCCGTATTTGCCCCTTTAGTCACCACAGGATAAAGTTTTGTAACCATATTTTTAACTAAATAGCTGATTTGCTGCTATTATTATATCAGTGGTTGGTGAGTGGAATAATTTTATTTATTTTTGGTCTTCTTCATTCATCTTGCAAGTGAACTCATTTTAAGTAAGGAATGCTGTGTTGGAGCCTGTGTACTCTACACTATCTTTCCTCTTGTCTTGCTAGCACCTGGCTATTTTACTTTATGGCCAGTCTTTCCTAAGGAAAGAAAAAAAATCAGTGAATTAAAATTATTCTTTCTTTCTCTTTCTCCCTCCCTCCCTCCCTCCCTCCCTCTCTTCCTTCCTTCCTTCCTTCCTTCCTTCCTTCCTTCCTTCCTTCCTTCCTTCCTTCCTTCCTTCCTTCTTCCTTTCCACAGTCTCCCTATATATCCCAGGCTGCCCTGGAACTCACTATGTAGACCAAGTTGGCCTCAAACTGTCATGATCCTCCTGCCTCCGTCTCTCAAGTGCTGGAATTATAGGCATGCACTGCCACACTTGTCTTAAAATTACATTTGAGAGAAAGAAATAAAGCTAATCTTACCAAAAATTTGTATGTGACCAAAAAACTGGCATGATAGTTTCCAGCTGGCCTTTGTGTAGGAGTATTACTGGTATTTAAATACAGTCGTTCTTAAAAAATAAATCCTAGTGACATCTAAACTATACTTATTTATTTTGTATATAACAGATGCTCCTTATTTATTTATTTTACATATATGTGTGTTTTGCCTCTGTGTATGTAAGTATACCATGTGTGTACAAGACCTGTGGAAGCCAGAAGTGGGTGTTGGATCACCTGGAACTGGACTATTGTTAGCTGCCATGTGGATGCTAGGACCCAAACCCAGGTCCTCTGCAAGAGGAGCCGGTGCTCTTAACCACTGAGCCATCTTTCTAGCCCCAGCTGCTTCCTTTTTTGACAGGGAGATCTCACTATCTAGCTCTGGCTTGCCTGGAACTCACTATGTAGACCAGACTGACTTCAAATTCACAGAGATCTGCCTGCCCCTGCCTGGACAGTACTGGGCTTAGAGGTGTGCCCCCCATGTTCCTCCCACAGCTGCTGCTTCTTGAGCACTTACTATATGCTGGGTATTCAGAGCTTCATCCTCATACCTTGTAGCTTTTAATTTTTTTCTCAATGTATAATTTCCATTGAATTTTTGTGCATTTCATATAATACATCTTAATCATATTTAGACCTTCTCCCCTATCTGCACCCCCATAGCCTGCCCACAGATTTCATGTATTCTGTCATATATGTTAAGGCCTACTGAGTTAAGTTTGTGTATCCAAATGCCTCTCAGTATAAGTACCCATTGGATCCTGGTCAGCCCATCTAGCATCACTCCCTTAAAGATCAACTGCCAATAGTTCCCCGGCTAAGGTTGGGGCCTCCTGCCTATTTCCCCAGTTCTATGTGGGGTTTTTGTCTGATTGAGTTTGCATGGGTCTTGTGTGTGCTGTCACCATAGCTGTAAGTTCATATGAACAAATTCCCAGAAGCCTGGAAATCTCTATTTTCTTATGGTCATCCACCATCCCTGCTCTTACAATCTTTCTGCCCCCTCTTCCACTATGGTCCCTGAGCACTGGGTGGGTACGGTTTAATATAGGATTCCTATCCAGGGACACACATTCTGCAATCTCTTATGATCTTCTCCTTGTCCAGTTGTGGCCTTCTTCGTTAATCACCCTCTGTTGCATGAGGAAGCTTCACTGGTGAGAGTTGAGAGATGCATTAGTATTTCTCTGTCCCCTGTTCCAATATGTTATGTGAGCCTTAGGAGTAGATGTGTCCCTTAGGGCTGGGCACCTCACAGATGCTTATTCTCTGTGTGTGACCAGTTGTGGAACTTTGTAATAGTCTCCATCTGTTGCAAACAGAAACTTCCTTTTGCAATTTAGCATTTAATTCTTAATACAGGTTTGTGAGCTATATATTATATCACCATTTCAAAGAATTTCAAGTTGAAGCTATAATGTATTCAATCTTTAAACCAAAATGGTATCACTGGGGAGATTTGGGACCAGGCCTGCTTGACTCCAAACCCCGTTCCCCTTGGCCACTAATTTGTTTTTACTACAGTAGCCCCTGTGTATTGGCAGGTACTGCAATTTTAATCAACCATGGATAGAAAATATTTTCTTTAAAATATTGCATCTGAACTGAACATGTGCAGACTTTTTTCCCTTGTCAGTACAGCATGACATCTCTTTATATTATTTGCACTATTAGTTATGATAAATAGCTTCGAGATGACTCACAGTAAATGGAATGTGTGTAGGTTATATGCACATGCAGTGCCAGTCTGTATAAGGACTTGAGCATCTTCAGAGTTTGTTATCCTCGGGGTATACTGGAACCAATCCCCTTTGAATACTGAGGTAACTGTCCTAGTTAGAAGTATACCAGACATTCCTACTTAGTGTATTCACTTAGAAAAAACATTAATGGCATCTCCTGAGTTGTCTCAAGCAGCATATATGTTTTCTGTTTCCCCTTTCATTAACGTTGTTTTGTCATTTTCTTTCCTGTCTATGTATGTGTGTGCATGATTGTGGGGCCAGAGGACAGATTCAGGTGCCATTCCCCAAGCACTGTACATTTCTTTTTTTTTTTTTGACAAGGTTTCTCATTGGCCTGCAACTCCCCAAACAGTCTAGGCTAGCTGTCCAGCAAGTTCCAGGGATCCATATATTTCTACCTTCCCAGCACTGGAATTACAGAGCACACTACCATGCCTGGCTTTTTTTTTTTTTTTAAAGTAGATTCTGGGAATAGAACTCAGGTCTCGTGTTTGCAAGGCAAACACTTGACTGAGCCATCACCAGTTCTTTAGACTGTTTCTAGCCAGGTAGCCCAAGGAATCTGCTTATAAAGAACAGAAATAACAGAAAATGATTTTTATAGCCTAGAAATTTCCTCTTAGGTACTAAAAAATCCTCTGCTACTGAGAAAAGCTGATGTTTGTAGAGAGGGCAGTTGTTGAATTTTCTTGCTTTATAGTGTGGTTAGCAACAGCTATAACTCAGTTATGCCTAGCATCTACCCTCAGGAAGGGGAGCTGCAATGACCTAACAGTGACTGTCCAAAACAATGTATCAAGGAAGGATTAGGCAAATAAAATACAAGAAAGCCTCTCCCTCTCTTCACAAGGCAGACAGAACGAGAGAGCTGTGTGCTAGCTTCACTTCTATCCATCCACTGGA